AAAAAATACTTTTGTTTTGGAAAAATAAATATATTGTGTTGACCTCAAATTTGAAATGATAAATGCCTCTGTTTACTAACTAGTAAAACCTACAAGGCTAACTAGTAAACATCAACATGAGATTTTAGTAACCCCCTAACTAATAATTCTACTGATTCATGCAATGAACCTGTACAAACAGAATGTACTTATCGTATTACATTTACCATAATCACTACAGCTAAATAATCACTTATAGAACATCCAGACTGTTGAGGATTAAATTTCTCAGGTGGCAGTATGGGGAACAGTTTTTAAAAAGGCATTTTCCCTCTTGAAAACAAGAGGGGACATTATCCAAGTAGTCCCTGCACTATGGAAAAGCCTTGAAATTTATTTTGTAATTAATAGTTTTTATTATTTGCTGGGTATCTTTTGAAAAACTCTGAGAACCCAAGCAAAAATTTTAGAAAAATTTAGTAATTTTAGAATTATTTAAAATTTAGCCACTTTTATGTTAGATATACATATAGAAATCAAGTCCTAATTTAGAACCCAGAAGTTTCTTTAAAAGAAAAAAGGGACTTGGTTGCTAAGGTATAAACTCATTTTGCAATCTATTCTTTAACCTTTTTGAAAATTCAGAGTACACTAATGAAGTTCTGTTGTTAGACTTAGAAGTCACTTAAAATATCAAGTATTAGTAATGAATCAAAAATAGTATTATGTAAGCCTACAATTGAGAACATTTTCTTGCAAAATTCTTCTACAAATGAAAAATATCAAAATATCCCTGTCTATATTCTATAGCTATCTTCTGATTTTTCAAAAAGTGGACAATTTAGAAACAATGTAGAAAAACACTGGATGACTAAAAAGAAGAATTCTGCCAGATTATTTCATTACACTGACATTCCAGACTAATGCACATACTTTTTATTGTAACCAAACCAAAAAAGCCTACATTTAAGATATAAGAGAAAGCATTAGTTGTGTGACACGGTTTTGCTAAATCTCAAGTCTTTTTTTTTTTTTTTTAAGCAATGAGTAGCCAAAGAAAGTTGTTAATTTTAATAGATAATGACAGAAAACTACAGAAACTCCAAATACAGAAAGGCTGTTCATGTATCCTAACAGCATAACCATTATGGTTGAAAAACCACACAATATTCTTTCTCACATCTGTTTTGTTAATGAGCCAAGAATGAGGTCTATTAAGTATCCTAGACAACTGAATTAGAAGTAGGAATGAATGTCTGGTGAATGCTGTTCATCCCAACAAACTGAGACTTAGCAGGTTTGAAAAGGATACTATTCTTAAATTATCTTCGTAGTTCTACCTTCATGAAAACAAAACTATCACTTGCCTTTTCCCCCTCATCAATTAGAAAAAGAAAAAAAGAAAAAAAAACGTGTAAGTTACTTAGATCCCAGTTTTAGGCATTATAAGAGAAAATGTTTTGCTAGATTAACAAAATATTTATTTAATTCATCTTTCAGGTAGACCTTCAAGTATTTTAAGACAATCGAAAATAATGTGATAAAAGAGGATTGTGATATAAGGCAACATAGTATTCAACTAAAATCTAACAGTTTGTGACAAATTTGGCAAGAATTCCACTCTGAGCTAGGATTTTTCCATATACAACAGAGAACTCTTCCAGGAAATGTTCCCTTCACAGGGCCCCAGGCCTCTTTGCATACTATCAGCCTAGGCTTATAGAATCAAACAAATGCAATGTTCTCAATGGAAAATATAAATTTACATAAATTAATTCTAAAATACCAACTTATACATAAAATTACCCAAAATAGCAAAAGGAAGTAGTATCTAGAAATCATTTCATTTATTCTAACCCCTAAATTACTTAATTTCTTTAAAAAATTTTAAACTAATAGATTAGTTTGGAATTTGGTTTAAAGACTTTAAAAGTGGTCATATCAGGAATCATGGATAATTTTTAAAAGTGTTCATCATGTTAACTGAATTATATTTGAGCGTTACATGTATGTTCTTTTTTCCCTTTTAAGTCTTTGTTTGGAAGAAAAAACTTACGTACTTCTTGCTTACTTTTTAGTTTTCCCTCAGGGTGTTCCATCACTGTCAGAGAAATTAAATTCTAAAACAAAAATCAAAATAACCTTGCACATTTTTATAAGTCCCACTGCCAGGCAAGAGCAGCAAATACTAGGAAAAAAGATGTAATGGCCACTCCAAAGCAGCACAAGCTAAAATTTAAGTGACAACCAAGTAAAAAAACATTTTCCGTGTTCAAATTTAATGCCCTCCAGCACAGCAGCAGTTTGACATTTTATTCCAAGACAAAAAAATGCAAGTGAGAAAATTTATATAATAAAAACATTCTCCAAAGTGATTAAAGATTGTTTATTTTAAATATTCAACTGAGAATCTAATGGCATTATATTTTGTTAGTATTTTGAACCCACTTTTTTCTATCTCATTTAAATCTAGCTTCCAAACATTAAATTTTTGTTCGTTTGGAACTTGTTCTCAAATGACTTTTTTCTTGATTTTTACTATAGAAGAATGCAGAGTATTCAAACACAAAGTACAACTAAGACAGAAACATAGTCTATTCACTTTTGCAACATTGTATAAGACAACTACCAAACTTGTCAAATCTATTTGCATATTAATTTATGGTAAATGTTTTTCTTCCATTGGTAGGTAAGTACAATTCTGTCTGCCCTAAACAGTAGTCTGACTACCTAAAAATACAGACTAGAATAGTTAAGGTCCTAAAAAATAGCTACTCTGGAGAAGTGATATCTCAATGAACATTTCTGCTTCCTCTATTCCCACTTTATTTCAAACTAAAACATAACATATACTTTTAGCCCAGCTGTAATTAAACCATAAAAAATAGGGTTTCAGCAGAAGTTCCTCTTAGGAGTCATAAGCACAGATGCTACACTATTATTATTTACAAACCAACTGTGGCAGCTTTTTGGGTTAAATCAAAGTTCACACAGTACTAGATTAGTAGATTGTACAGGACACCCTTAAAAAACACTTAAAATATTTCCATGCAAAAGGGAACAACAGACAACTTGTAGTGAGGAATGGTTCACCAAAAAACTACAGTATTTATATTCAAAGTCCTCTAATGTAAATAAATTTAAGTTTTCTATGTATCCACCTAAGGACTAGATTTTAAAATATCCTGTCATAAGATGACTCCTGAGAATCTCCACACAAAAGAAAGACTTACAACAGAACTGGAGAGCCAAGACCCAACACTGACTTAACAGACTTTTAGAGAACATTTACATCTAAAATTAAAAAAAATTTTAAACCAAAATATGTATCTCTCAAATTCTTTATTTAAAACTGAGTTGCACATTTTCCCCAACTATGCTTTCAATTTCATGTGTAACTCAACAATTGCATGTACGTTTCAGGAAAAATGAAAATTTTGTTTTTAATGATGACAAACTTGAGCTAAATTATACTTTATCTTCCTTATTATAGTCACTCATGTATCAACTGCACTGAATAATAAACTTTGCAATTCAAGGTGTGCATTCAAGGTGAATTCTTAGCTCAAGAATTCACAGGAGCATTTACTGAATCATTCTTGGCTAGCTGGACCAGTTGGTTAGGTGGTTTGACTTTAGAAGAACTTTCTAAGATGTTGTCTATATATTTGGGCATAATTTTATATAAAAAATCCAAAGGAGAAAAAAGAAATAAAAAAAGTTAAAAAATTTTTTTGAAATATCTTTAAGTTTTAGAATGATTAATAAAAAACTGTCATGTTTTGTTTTCCAGGCTTGACAACAGGAGTTATATAAAAATCACCTATAACCCCAAATCATCACATTCCATAAAGACTATAGTAGAAAGTTAAAAATTCCACATAATAAAACTTGTAATAAACCCCTCTCCCTACCACAACCTCTACAATTTGAATGCTTTTGCATCTACTTGAAAATTATACTCCTTAACCTAATTAACAAATTCTTTATCATTATGTCACTGGTTTTTTACGTAAGTTTTTCTTATCTCATATTCAGGTATCTCCCCAAATAAGATGTATCTAGCAAAATAAGATGTGAAATTCAGGGGCTTGGGATACCATTAGTCACTAGACGCTCCCCCCGCCCCAATATTTTAAAATTAATTTATAAATCTGTGACTGGATGAAGCATACTTTCAAATTTAACACACCAAGTATGAACGATCCTTTGGGAAGCAAGTCGTTATGTAACATCTACTTTATGTCCCTCAATTAATTAATTACTTTAGGACCATAGTGCTTTTTCCTTTAAAATACGTGGTGCCCAAGTTGCGGTTTTCTCTCAAGGCTACCGTTTTACAAGGACTGAAAGTTTTCTTAAATTCCAAATTTCCAGGAATATGACAACCGAACCTCTAGGGAACGGAGAAGGAAAGAACACTGTCAGCAATTTTAAGATCCACCTCCTCACATGAGCAGAGATCCAGGCTGGTATGACATTTCCAAGATCCTCAGGAACTCCATACCACGCTGCCACAAGCAGGAACTCGGGGATGGGAGAAACGTCAGCTTGCATCTGACGTTGCACTCAAACCTATTTCAAACTTCATTCTCATCTGTTATCTCCACAACTACCTTAAGAGGTAAGAAAGGGAGAGAGCTGTCCGCCTAGCGACTAGACGGGACACACAACCCAGTTAAAAAAAAAAAAAAAAGGACACGCACACCGTTACCTCTCCAACCGGAATAACAAAAGCGATGGCAAACCCTTCCAGACCCCAGAACAAGAAGGGTGTTATCGACTAGAGAAACCCAAACTTCAACCGTTTCAGCGGCGTCCCCTTCCCCGCAGTTTCGCCTACTCAGTGCCTCCCGGGAACTGCGGCGCGGCTGCGGGGAGGAGGAGGAGGGGCACGCGGGGGTCGGAGACCCGGAGCCGCCCGGACGGCGCTCACCTCGCGCGACGGGGCCGGAGCTGAGGGAGCGACGATGCTCTGGGGACAGCCCCACCGACCGGGCCAGCATCTGTGACACACTCACCTGCGGAGCCGATTTCCATTCATGGAGCTGGGGGGAGTGCTTCCAGCGAGAAGGGCGCCCGCCCCTGGGGGGCAAGGAGGCGGCGCAGGGGGCGACGCGGCGCGACCGGCACTCTCACTCGGCCCCGAGGCGGGGCGGCGGCGGCTTCGTGTCAGCAACCGGACTCCGAAAGCTCTCGTCAGGAAGAGCCGCCGTCGGGAGGCAGCACGCCACTAGGCGAGAGGGAGGAGAGTGTGAGGCGAGGAGAGGGAGCTCGGCGCGGAACTTGCGTCGCCCGCGGCCGCTTACGCTCCGGCGGCCCCTCCACGACTGCGGCGCCGCGGCCGACCTCCCCGGGGGCCGTCCCCGGAAGCCCGCTGGCGTCAGTTCCGCTGCCCCGGCTCGCCGGACGTCCAAGCCTCGCCTCTCGGGCCCAAGCCGTGCAGCCGCGACGTCGGTGCGGACGCGGCCGGCGCCGGGGACGCAGGGGAGGTGTCGGGGAGCAGGCGGCTCGGCGGGGCGGAGCTTGGCGCACGCGCGGAGGGGCGCGGCCTCCGCCGGGCAGTGCCGGCCGGAGACAACCCGGAGGGGCGGGGCTCGAGCCACCCCGGTGCGGATCCCCGCCAGCCTGCGACGTCGCGGAGGGCGGTGCAGCTTACCTGGGGAGGAGCCTACCTGGAGCGAGGCTGGTCAGGGGGCAGTGGCCCCCGTGCCGAGGGCCACCCTCCTTCCCTAGCCCCCTCCCTCCACGCCCAGCTCGGGCGACCCCACGCGCCTCTTTCTCAGCTAGCGGCCAAGCAACCACCACGGTGGATCGTTCCAAGTCCGTAGGGTTGCTTTGACAACCATTTGGGGGGGGTAAAATGTACAGTTTAGCTTGGGAAGAGATTAAGAAACAGGACATTACACAAACATCAGATCGAATAGTTTCCATGTTTAAAACTCTTTAATAGCGTCTCTCACACTGAGAAGACCCAAACTCCTTTCCAGGGCCAAAACGCACTCTGTAACCGGGAGCCCAGCTTTTCTCCTCAAGCAAGACATCACTATGCTACAGCTATACTGGTCTGCTTCTAACTCACCCAACGGGCAAAGGGCTTCTCTTTCCGACTCGGAGTTTCTGCTTTCAGTTCCCTTGGCCAGGAACCCTCTCCTTTCTCTGCAACGCGTCCCTTCTTTTTACACCCCAATTTAAGACTTAGGCCTTTTCCGCTATGGTGGGGCACCCGCTTTTCTATTACAGTATTTCCTTAATAATCCTGTTCCAATCGGTAATTTGTTTTTACTAGTTTATTGCCTCTACCACTAGAATGTAAGCTTTAGTAGGTTACCAGGACCAGCACGTTAACTGGCAAATAGTAGGTCCTTAATATTTGCTGCCTTTAATGAAAGGTGATACTATTTTACTCAGGCTGAATGATTCATGACATTTCCCTATGTCTCTAAACATCAGTAATGCTTAGATTTTTAAAAGTCAAAATACATCCCTTTTTTAAAAAGCTGCGACAAAGAGGAAAAGGCAAGTATCCTATCTTAAATCCCTCCCATCCCCACCCTCCACAATCACTGGGACTTTGGATCAATCACTTGAGCCTCCTGGCTTAAATTTCCTCATCTGAAAAATGGAGAACATGTATCTTACAGTTGTTGTGAGGTTAGGGAATGTGCATAAAGCACAGCAAACCCTCCCTAAACGTTAGTGAATAAAAAAGGACTGTATTTACCATTTTAAAGCACTTATTAAATACACATACCGTAAACACTTCATAAATGAATGGGATTCAAACCCACACCTGATACCGATTCTTTCTCACTTCTTCCTTCCCACCCATACCCATTTACTGAAAATGCCCTCCCCAATTTTAAAATATCAAATTAAATGTCACCAGTTGAAACACTGTATCTTCAAAGTTATTTTCAATCCTTGTCTGTACACAATCCAAGTCTATAGCAGCATCTGACAGGGTAAATACCAACTGTTGTGCAAGGGTCTACTACACCTTCAACCCCCAATTCTAGAACTGGTTCCTTAAATGACTGCAGACTTCTTCAGCGCCTCCCAGAATAAACATGGTGATGGTGATGAACCCTGGAGGTGGCCAGTCTTCTTTGCTGACATTGATGAAGCAGGATTTAGACCTAATTAGGTCCAGTTTAATGAATGTCAATGATGCCTTCCCACCTACTTCTGCTACCCAGGGACCCCCACCTTTTCAGAATGGGCCCAAGTGAACGGTTCATGAACTGTAATATCAGGAAGTGAGAAGACAAAAAAAGTTTGAATGATTCTGCCAAAAGCAAAGTTGTAAGAGGCTTTCCTCTGACCACATACATGCACACACTAGTTTTGGATAACCTCTTTCCCAAATGAATCTGCTCTTAAGGGCATAGAACAGTCTTTATACATCTTGTTAACTGTCATAGCCTGTGCCTAGAACAGTGCCAGTGCCTGGCACATAGCAGCACTCTGTAAATATTTGTGGAATGGATGAATAAATGAGTGGGCTTCAAAAATGGGGCTCAGGAAGTAGGCTAAAACTCTGCCCTCATCTGATGTGGCACTGCTTTGCTCTCAGGGAGAACTATAAAATAGTAAAGAAATCTCAGGGGCAAGGAAATCAATGCTCACTGAAAGTTGCATTCCTAGGCTTTCTGTGCTACATAAACATCAATACTCAATGAAAGCAACTGGATAGAGTCCTTTCCTCTCCCATGGGCTGAAATTAGTTGACTTGACACTTGCATTCAAATCTCTTCTAGTCCAGTTTTTAAACAGCAGAAAGCAAACTAGAGTTGATCTTTGAACATGGGGGTTAGGGGTGCTGACCCCCCAGGGAGTTGAAAACTTACATATGACTTTAAGCTCCTCAAAAACTTAACTAGAGGGCTAGCCGTGTGGCACGTTAAGAGTTGGCTTGGAATGCCAGCTCTGAGCAGCAGGGCCCTGGTTTGGATCCCACATGTGGGCCAGTGACGCTGTGCCCGCTACAGCAAAGATGGTGAACAACAGCTCAACCCAGAGCTGGGCTGCCATGAGTCGCCGGTGACAGCATAGGCTGCAGTCAGGCTGGCCGGCAGCTGGCGTGCGCTTTCGTGAGCTGCCTTCCAATGGCCAGCGAGCGACTGCCTCACCTGGGAAGAGCGCAATGATAATACCAACATGGGCCAGTGAAGCCACGTCCTCCACAACTAGACTGAAGAACCAAAAGGACAGCAACTTGTCTGTTCCCCTTCCCCGATTTTCCAACGCTGTTACCCTCCCCCAATTCCCCAATAAAATCTTTAAAAAAACAAACAAACAAACAAAAAAACTTAACTAGAGATATCCCTCAGGATCCTGGAGTGATTGGCTCCGGAACCCTGTGGATACCAAAATCCAAGAATGCACAAGTCCCTTATATAAAATGGTGTAGAAGATGCATAGTCGGCCCTCCACATCCATGGACTCTGAACCAGGGACTGAAAATGCTGTTTTTGATCTGCAGCTGGTTGAATCTGCAGATGAAAAACCTGGGGGGATACACAGGGCTGACTGTACATTTATTGGAAAAATATCCACATATAAGTGGACCTACACAGTTCAAACCTCTGTTGTTCAAGGGTCAACTGTACTTTGTACTGCAGCAGGACACAATATAAAACATACTGGCTTTAGGGACACTCAGGCCCTCTGCTACTATCTGTGATCCTAGGAAAAGTCACTCTGAGCTTCATATCCCTCATCTGTAAAAACGAGAGGACTTGCGTAGAGCAGACATTGCTGGATACCTACCCAAGAACCCTTATCCCCTTCTTTCTTGCCTAACAGACATGATTTGTCTTTCTAATCCACATGAGTTAGAGGGTAACTCCTAGTTAATCCAAGCCACTCATGATGGATGATCTCATTTGCTTTGCCAATGACAGGAGTGGGAAGATGACCCAGTTCTAGCAAATGAGACGTGATGCCAGATGAACTGGGGCTTCCAGGGATTTTCTTACTTTAAATGAAACATTGGAAAAACTTGGTCCCCCTTCTGCAAGACATTGTTCTGTCAGCATTTCTTTCCTGGAATTACAGAAGCCATTTTGGGACCCTTAGATGAACTAGCATGAGGATAAACCAACACAGAGGACAGCAGAACAAAAAGACTGCAAGAACCTGGTTTGTTGGTATTATCATTGAGCCGCTGAATTAACCAACCTCGGGGCCATATTAAATCAGAACTTCTTGTCATGTAATAGTTTCCTTATTTAAGCCAACTTAATTGGGGTTCTGTTATATGCAACTGAAGGTAATTGATAAAATACTTCACATGAATGCTGTGACGATGCAATAAGATAAACAGATACTGTACAAAGCACTTAGCCAAACATTTCAAAGTTCCCAAGCCCTTCCTTCCTTTTTCCAGTTCACTTCCATTAACAACCCATAGGCCTTTTCCAAGAAACCGACTCGGATCTCTCACTGCCTCCTTTAAGCAAGTTACTTGCCTTCAGTAGATGGGGAAGAGGGATGGAGGGCTCCCTAGAAAGGTCCCTCAGATTTCTGTCCCCAAAAGACAATGCCAAGAGGATAGTGGTGAAGCCACTGCAGTCCAGAGCAAGAGGACAACGTGTTCCCGCAGGGTGAGTCACACTGGCCTGAAAAACCTTGATATGGCATCCTGGGGAAGACAGTCATGGTTCTTAGGTGAAGGACTTCTAAAATGTAGCTCATCCCCGGCAAGTCCACTTTTCCAGCTCCTAAAGCACACAGGTACTTTACAGGAGAGCTTCTGTCATGCTCTGTGCCCCTTCTAGCATGCCAAGTCTCCTCAGCCTATAACCAGAGGAATAAATGTCTTGAAAGCTAGACACAAACAGCAAGAGCTACTTGCTACAATTCGATGCTACTTGCCATTCAAACAGTACAGGCAGCAGTCTGGATGGAAATGGCCCAGACTCAGAACTTGAAAACAGTCTTCTCTTTGTACTATAACCCTTTCCTTTAGCCCCCAAACCCTAACTGCCATGAGATTCCGGGGTCTGCTAAACCAAGAGATACCTAACAAATACCCACCCTCACTCTACTCCAAGCCACTTGCTAGATAAAAACGTGCTACAATATATGTTGCTGAATGACAGGGCAGAGGGAAGGCTGCTCAACCAATACTACAAAGGGGTATCCGGGATGCTAGACAACCCTAAACTCAATACCTCGAGCTCCAGGACCAGACAAATCAGGCCTTGGGCTCCCATCATCTTTTTTTCTCAAGTAGCAACCAACAGACAAATCCTGAGACCTTTTTTAACATCAATCGTTAATAAAACTGAAATTTATGGCAAGAGAAAAAAAGTGCCATAATGGTCATCCTCCCGCTTGCTCTGCTAACTACTTCTGCTTCGCTAAGGGTCATACATTTATTTGAAGTATTGTTTCAACTGGGAAAAATCTCCCCCATGTTCCAATTTGCATTTCAAGTTCAACCAAGCCCACTCACCCTTGCTTCTAAATAGAAAGGATCATGGAGTCTGGCTGGCTGGCTCCCATGGGAATTTGGCAGGTGGTAGCCACAGGTTAGCTCTGCAATTGGAAAAGTCACAACACTTGGCCTCCAGGGGAATGCTAGGGTCCACTTACATACATACTAGCTGCCACTGAAAATTTCTCACTGGGCCCTGTGCCAGAATCCTCCTCTGAGCCATCTTCCCACAGAACAGCAATACTCTAGCAGTAGCAGGGAGGAATGCCAGAATTTACATGCTTGACAACTGTACATCAGCTTAAGGTACAAAAACCACAGAACTTCCAAGTTGGGGTGAGAGTGGGAAATGGTGGTGCTCTGGTTAAGATTCTGCTTACCTGAAGATTCAGAAATGCTGAGTCCATCCTGTGCACTCAATATCACGTTTTGATTCCCTGCCCCCAATCCCCTATATGCATAAACCAGATTTCTAGCTCATTTCAATTCTATTCAGAAATACATGCTATGGCCCTAAGATGACAAAAATGGATAGAATGTAGTTTCTGCTCCCAGGAGCTCACAGTCTCTGGGGGGGGAAACAAGTCATGAAAATAAATAGAGCAAGCTGCTAAGTGCTATCGAGTGCACTGGAACACCATCTATGACACTGGTTAGGAACAAAAATAGGTTTGTTTATTTTATTCTTTTACAAGTATCTCCTGAGGACAGGAGGAAGCTGGAGGTGGTGGTGGCGGTTGTGGTGAACAACTTCGAAGTCCTAGTCTTAACCTTATTCAATTAGGTTTTCCAATGCTCATATTGAAGAAACACTGGAGAATGACCATAAAGTTATAAAATCCAAGAGAAGATGGGGTGGAGAATGATGAACTGAGTAGAAAATAAAAATACCCCTTCCTCACCACCGCAGTTCCTGGTGTTAATCACATCCTTCTTGGATCCTATCCCACTCACTTGATTTTTCTTCCACCTCATTAAATCAGTCAAAAATATACAAGGTATCTACTAGTGATTTGACATTCATTTTTAGGTTCTGCTTCCTCTCCTCATCCCTTAAGTTGTTTCCTAGCTGTACATAATGTGTCTCTCACTCTACTTTTTCTAAACCATCTCATTCACTTCTATGGCTTTAACTATCATCTATATGAATATGAATCCCATTATCTAGAATTGCAGTTTTGTAGTCTTCCCTGAGCACCAAAACATAAGTGTTTACTGGAAACCTTAACCTCATTGCCCCATGGGAACCTCAAAACTCAGTCTATACAAGCAAGGCTAATTGTCTTTCTTCACAAAATTCACCAGCTTCCTTCTACAGTCTCCCCTACCCCGTCTTGGTTAAAGGAATGTCCCAATATACTCACTTGCTCCAGCAGATACCTGGGCATCAGCCCCTACCCTTCTCTTCCCCGTCCATTATCCATTCAGTCCTATTAATTCTATCTCCTGAGTGTTTCTCAAATCTGCCCTTTCTTCTCTATCGTCATTGCCTTATAGCTTTGTTCCAGTCCCTCATTATCTTTCTCCTGTAACAAGGGACCATTTGGCTACTCATACCCCCCACCAAACTTTAAGCACCTTAAGGAGAGAGCCAGTTTTCCTCATTTTTGAATTGTGCCCCCTCCCCCCCAATACTGCTGGACACAATACTTTACGTGTTTGTGGAAGAATAAATGGAGGCCCTGTCAAGTATGATTACATACAATCTGCAGTTTCAACACTCTGGAATTTGTTTTAGCCGCTTTCCTCCTTTAGAAGTGATGGTTCTGCTCTTGTAGCGATCTATTATTCTAAGCTAAAATTTATCAGAGATATAATTAATCTAACAGTTTGCTTTGCTAATAGGAAAAAAGAGAGAGAGAGAAGAGAGAGAGACCGCACTTTAGAAATAGAAGCCACTGTTGTCTTTATAAAACAGAATTGTGCTGCTGCTGTTGCTTACTTTTGAAGGAACTGTACATTACAGCTGCTGGGATAATTTTACAATAGACTGGACAAGGTACAGCTCAAAGCAGGACACGAACACAAGTCTCAGGGAAACAAATGCAAACAAGTACACAGCTGTGGGGCTCCAGGGACGTTTCCCTATCCATGCTGGACTTGAGAGGGAGAAAAAGTTTAAAAACTAAAGTAATACCCAGAGTCGTCACACATGCCCACCAGATGGCTGCTAAGTGCCAACGTCACACACCAATCAGGTTGGACTGTGCGCAGAGGAAAGTCATTTCATTTTTCCTTATTGCTACTACACCAGGGGGCTTGGTGCATTCGACACATTGTCTTTACTTGCACAATCCTTGGAGAGTTCATTTTCCTTTTTAAAGAAGAAAATCTGCCTTCCCCACCTGATTTTTTTTTTGTTTTTTGTTTGAGTCATTCCCTCCACTCCCTTTCTTGGGCTCCCAAACAGCAGCCAGAGGTTCTAAGTCAGTAGGAGAAGAGTAAGAGGACAGCACCAACCTAGCCTCTCCCTCCCTGCTCAGGGAGAAGGCAAGTCCTAATAAATGGGGGGAAAGAGAAAACCAGAGCATCCCCTCTCCCCAGTCTGCTTAGAAATCCAAAGAGAAAACAGTGCGCCCTGCATATCCCTGCCATGATCAGACTTTAAAGAAGGCATCCCAGCTACCATCCTGGATTGGCCTAGACCCGGTAAATATAAATAGAAATAGTTTCCCCTGATGTAGTTTCCAAAACTGCATTTTGGCTAGTTTGAGATGACTTTTTACCCTGAAGGGGAAGAAACTTCCATCTTTCTTTGTTACACATGACGCCAGGTCTAAAACACTGTCCTATCAGCCTTGTAGATATTCCTTGGGCCAGCCAAGAAGTCAGTGTCCCCTTGAGTGCTGCCTATTTTGAGTGCTAGTCTCATTTACAGAATTCTAGACAAGAAAAAGAAAACTCCAAGAACACTGTTGCTTAGGCAAAGGGCAGCTATCCTGTAAGTAGAAACCAGGAGCTTTGTAGGGCCGTTTCACACCTTTAGGTACTTCCTCAGCATTATTCTATTCTAAGGCGAAGTTTCCAGCAACAGGGGCCCCAGGCTTACCCCCAGAGGCCAGCAGTAGCACCTCAGCCCCCAATGGGTCAGGAAGGACTGGAAAAATGAGCAGTGCTCTCCTTTCCCACTTTTCATCCAAATTTTCTCCATTCTCTTCCCATCATTCTCTTCTTCCCCCATGTCTATCCCCTAACACTCCAACCCTGGATACTCAAATAGCTCAACCCTAACAGATCCTCCGAAAAGAGAAGACCCAGGTAGAGAGAAATGGAACCAGATCTAGAAAAAGCAATGACAGAAACCAACTCCAAGGAGTGGACAGGTGTGAAAGTTGCCAGAAGCCCCCTGATTTCATGCCATTTGGTTAGGCCTGCTGCTCTGCCCTCGTGTCAACTTGAGGGCAGTCCAGCCCAAAGAGGACATCGCTGGGCTTGGGGAACAGACTCTTGGGTCTTCTGCAGCCAAGGAGTGAGGCCTGATTTTGCTACCTAACAGTGGGATCATTGTAGCCATGCAGAGAATTCATCATCACATAGGCAGATAGGCAGGCAGATCAGCCAGCAAGCTGAATGAACAGAAAAAAAAAAAAGGAAGACAGAAGAGGGAAAGCAAGGCAAGCGAGTAGAACAAAGGGAACAAGAGGCCTGTCTAAGAGGGTGAGGCTGGGGTCATCCCAGAGCTTCCTCAGAGCTTAAGTGAGAAGCACCACGGAAACCAAATTCAAGAAAGCCAAAGCTTGTTGCCAACACCAGCTCCCATCCTGCATGCACCATCTTTAAAACAAGAATCATCCTCAAGTTTAGGGTATTTTTCAAGTCTCAAAGATTAAAAAAAAAAAAAAAAATCAGAGCAAGAAGTCATTTTCTTGCCATCGCCCAAGCTGCTTCTCCTGCTTTTCTTTCTTGAATGGCATGTGTAGTGCCTATGGGCTCAAAAATGCATTTCAAGCCCCAGCTCCAAACCCAACTGGAGAGAGTGAGGCAAAAAGAAAAAGGAGAACACAAACTTGCTGCCGAGAGGAGGTGGCTACCACCAGCTCCCTATGGATATTTGCAAATGCTGGTGAATGAGTGGACCCTCCAGGAATAGTGCCCTGATCCCAGCCCCAAAATGCACCCAAGAAGAGAACATGCAGAGCCCACTGTCCCAAGAGAGCTCTCCTCCCCTAGGGGTGGCTGCACACGAAGTAGACAGTATTATGAAGGTGATGGACAGGGCAGACGGAGTGTTGGCATCACTCTCTTTAGGCACTTGTGTAAGGAATGTAGGCTCTCCAGTGAGCTGCCTCCTCCCAGGGCCCTCCATTCTGTTCTTCAGCTGGGCTGTGCCCATGGGGCAGCCAGGCTGTAGCCAGTAGGAAAAGAAGTAAAGGAGGAGTTTCTCAACAGTTCTGATGCCTTCCTCCATAATCAATGTTTGTGCTACGTTTTGTGAAGTCGCTGAACAAAGTAGCCAACCAGAACAGAACCTGGGAGAGACTGTTTTGCATAGCAAATCTGGATCTGTACAAGGGCTGCTGGGGAGGGGAAATGGTACCTCTCACTGCACAGGCCTGGGTTCAAACCGGCCTTCCAACAGCTGGCTACCAAGCCTGAGCTAGGTCTAAAGTGTCATGGTTTCATCACCAGATTGGGGCAAAACCCAAGCCCAGGCTCCTCAAAAAGAGGCATTTCCACGCTGAAGCTGTAAGTTCCCAGCCCAGGCAGTGGGAAAGGAGAAAATGAACAGTCAAGCAAAGAGGGGCCCTTGCCTCAAGGCCAGCAGGTACCAAGTTACAACCCCCTACTTTACCAGTTCTATAAGACAGCCAAAACCCATCTCTCTCCAGGGGGAGACACACACACGCGCGCGCGCGCGCACACTCACACACACACACACATATACACCCATGCCACCCACTCACATGCCCTAGTGGGAAACCAGGAAAAATTCATTTGTGTAAACAGAAGCAATAGGGAGCAGCAAAATCCCCCAGCCTGTTCACAGGACACGCTGGAATCTGGGATGAGCCAAAGTGTCAGAGGACAGTCCAGAGGAAGGGAAGACGCACTTGCAGGAGAATGCAGGGCAGTGCAGAGGGAGCCTGTAGCAAGAAAAAGGTATTTTCTGCACAGAGGAAGTGATGGAGCCCGAGCCCCACCTTGGGGAGATAACCACCCCTTACCGAGGCCAAAGAACAAGTCAAGGTACATAGTTCCTTCTAATGGCTCAATGTTTCTGGGATGTAAACTCATTGGGCATGGGAGGGGTTCCAGATTTTGGCAATAGACTCAAGTTATGATATAAAAATAACATTTAGTTTTTGCTCTTTTTCCTTATTTTAGACCTAAGGATCGTTTGTTATAAGACACCCCAGTTAAGAAATAGTGAAACATAAGAGACTTGACCATCAAGGGAAAAAAGAAGCCAAGAGTGAGAAAGGCTATGAAAGTAACTCCAGACTCAGGCAGGTGGGGAGGTGGAGGGTACAGGGCTGACAGGAGGCATAAGTGGAAAGGCCAGGGGCCAGTCATCTCAGCAGCTCCGAGACTTGTCAGGTCTGAAAGTGCAAATGTCAATGGATTTTAACCATCTTGAGGTTGTAATCTTTTTAAAAGCTCAATGAATATGGAAGTAAATTCCTTCAAATGCAAAATAGCTGGCGCTCTGGCTGGAGGCTTGTTGGGTTAGGGGTATTTCTTCCCCACCTACCTCCTCTCCCACCCCACCCCATCCCCCCCAAAGAAAGGTACAAAAGGTTGCAGTTCTGCAGCATTACCGTTACAGGGAAGGCACTGGTTACCCACCAGCGGGTGGAAGGAAGACAGGGTCGTGTCACTTCAGAGCTAAGTGCCATAGTGCCTTAAGTCTTATTAGGGGCTGGATGTCTGTCAGGGAGGAGGTGTAAGGTAGGGTAGAAAGGGTGGAGAGAGAGCAATAAAGGGAAGGAGAGGGGTGGGGGTAGCAGCAGGGGAGGAGGAGCAACCAAAACCATTAGATTAAAAATCTTCCTACAAACTGGATTCTCAACCCATTAAAACATCTTGTATCCTAAAATATTGATCTGGGCCTGGTTTCGTTTTTCTTCTTAAACAAATCTAGACCTTTTCTGATTAAGGCTCCTAAAAAATCCTTCCCTCCTCCCACCCACTTTCTCAAGCCCCTCACTTTCCCATCTAAAGTATCAAACCCAAACCTACCAGCTTTTGTCCGAAGGGCTGCAGAGCCGACCTTACCAAGCTGTCAGGCATGAGTCTTTAGCACTGTGAGTCACGTGAGACACCTGTGTGTATGGTGGGCACCAGTGCTGCCCCTCTTGGTCCAGTGGGGTCAGGGCCATGTGACAAGATGGGGTGAGGGGTGGGGGGCATGAGGTGGATATCAGAGGTTTCTGGCTGGTGGTCTGGCTTACTGGCCCTGTTCCCCACACCTCTGCCCTCTCTGTAGAAGGAAACAAGGCCTTCTGTCCTCCTCCCTACCCCACCTCCCTCCTCCCTGATGCCTCTGGATTTGGGCGGCACAGCTCTTGGGGCTTGGAAAACTTTCTTCTATCCAGTGAGGTAACAGCGTTCTGCCTTCAAGCGAAGTACATGGTGCGCAGAGTATCCTGGTGAACCTGCACGGCTTTGGCCAGGGCCTGGGGGTCCCGCCCATTGCTCTGCCCCGATATGTGGCTCCCCTCTCCACTGAAAAGGAAAAATGAAAGACGTCCTTCCTGGTGAACTGAACTACTGCTAATTCCTTCCCCCATCCCTAGGGTGCCAATTCCCACCCCAACTTAAGCAGAAAAAAAAAACCAGATTTGGGCAGATGAATCCAGGGACACCAAATTGAACAATACCCATTTCCTTCCACCCAAGGAAAGTTAGGTCTGTACCAGAGGCTGAAACAAAAAAGAAGCCAGCCTGATCTCGGGCCTCACCTGTCATGCTCCTTGTCCACTAGGTGGTATCGTGCCCGGAAGGCCACCAGGCGGGCATAGTAGGCAGGTGCTGGGATAGAGACGGAGCGTGTGCATCGTACATAAGTGTGGCATAGCTGGTACGTCAAGATCTGGAGCTCATCTGCTGTGAAACGGTTGTCATCCCAAAGGACATAGTAATGGGATGGTCGGCTGGTGCCCTGGGAAGATAGGAAGGTGAGGGACCCCAGGTTGGGCAGAGGGGATGGCTGATGATAAGGAACAGGATCGCTGTTAAAAGTATGACTAAGTTGAAAGACCCACCCATGAACAGGCAAACACACAGTCACCTATGTCATAAAGCACCCTTCTTATGGGCAACCTGCCTAAGGTGTTCAAAGTACACTTCTGTGTAAGTACACTGAGGGCTACTGATTGAGACAATAATCCTGATGTGAATGCCACTCGATGACTGATAAATTCTAGAGGCAGTGATAAAAATCAACTAAGTTTTGGCCCATTGGAAACCCCAGGACATAGCCCAGCTACCTGGATGCCTGCGTGGCTGCACAGATAGAAGTCAAACTCAAATGGGTGGGTGATGTTGGTGTCCACAGTGGTCCCAGCTGGGATGTTACCACTCTTTCCAATCTGTATAGAGACAAAGACAACCAAGATCCCAAAACCTGCCTGGCCCTAACTAGGGCCCCGCCTCCATTCTACTCTGACTCCACCAGGATCCCAAGAGTAAAGCAGAAGGTGCTGTGCCCAGAGGACACTAGGTCTTGAAGTAATGGGCTTGTGAAGTCACACAAACCTGTGTTTAGGTGCTGGTTTCACCGTTTATTAGTTATATGATCTTAGCAAGTCATTTAACCTTTCTGAGGTTAAACTGGAGATAATGATAGTACCTACCTCACAGGGCTGCTGTGAGGAAGACGCCTTGTACAGTGTCTGGCACATAGTAGAAGTTCAATAAATGGTAGTTCCCTTTCCCTTCTCTGGGAGCTGGTCTATATATGGGGTCTATAGGCCAGGGAGCTAGGAGGAGGGAGAGGAAGTATAAGGGAAGGAGGGGAGAAGGGGGGAACACAGGGAAGGAGGTGGTAGAGGAAGGACTGCAGGAGCTAAGGGGAAGAAAGGGGCCAGAAAGGATGAACAGGCCAAGGACTAAATCCCCAGATAGTAGCTCAAGGGCTTCTTTCATATTAAGAGAAGGGAGACAGGATGAGGGTATGGGCGGTTTCCGCACTCCCTCACTCACTCGTTCATTCTTGTCCGCACAAAAAAGGCGGGTGTGATGGCGTTTCTGCACCACAATATAAGTAATCCCAGGCTGGTAGTCCTTTTCCAGTTTGATGCAGGCATCACGAATGGCCAACAGCTCATAGTGGAGGATCTAGGCACAGGGTGAGGAGAGAGACAAAGAGACACACAGCTCCTCTTGAGTTCACATATCTCTCTGAATATCATAAGTTGCCACTTATAATAGGGCTTCTTGCTCAGTCTCCCTTTATAAGCTGACACCCAACCATTAGAGCTGATGGGCTCTTCCTGCCAAAATCAATCTTACATGCAGTTCACCTGATACGTTCCTATAAAACCTTGGCCACCAGGCTTGGCATCAGCAGAAAGCACTCACCTGGTTCCTGGGCATAAAGAGATCCCAAATCAAGACACAGAACCAAAGTTCACAGAGAAATCACTAAAATCACAATGCCCAAAATAAGGTCAACTACAGGGTCAGGAGGAAGATGGGCATTCCCCTGTAAGCTCCAAGAGCAGACAAGGTTGGAACCATCAGACAAGGGCAGGCACATAGTTCAGGGATGGGTGCAGAGGAAGTAGATGAATTCAGTCCTACAAAAAATCAGGATTCTAAGAAAATGGAACAGCTAAAGAAAAAGCCACAGGTAAATAACCATAGGAAACAGTTGCCTTGTGGCCTTGGATATCAGATATAGGGGGTCAAAACTGTATGGTAGAAGTGGATAGGATTTGAAATCAATTAGAACTAGAGTTAAACCCAAGTTTTATCTAGTTGTAGTCCCTTGAGCAAATTATTTAAACTCTGTTAAGTCTCATTTTCTCCACATCTACTAAAGTTACTAATAAGAGCAGCCTTCACAAAGCTGTTGTGAAGACTAAACAGGTAATTAAATAAAAGCATAGAAAACCTAGTAGGAGCTTAATAAAATGCTGATTGCTTTGCTAAGCAGTTCGAATTTTAACCCAAGGCTGTATGAAGCCACTAGACATTTCTGAACAGAGAAATGATACAACAAATTTATCCAGTATTTTAGGAAACACTGGATGCCTTGGAGGAAATTGAGCATAATGGTTAACAGCATGGACTTTGGAAGCAGACCAATTTATCTGAATCCAAGTTCCATCACTTATTAGCTTAAGTGACATTGAAGAAATCATTTAACATTCATTCCAAGCTTCAGTTTCCTCATCTGTCAAATGGAATAATTATTATTTCGTAGGGCTACTGTAAGCATTAAATAGAACTCATATGAAGCGCTTAACACAGTTGATGGCACATAAAAGATACCCAATAAATGGTAGTTATATTACTATTAAATGGTAGTCAAGGAGACCAGTTCAGCATACTAGTCTAAACAACAGAATATGAAGTCTTAAATAAAAAAATATATATGAAGGCTTGGCAGGCAGAAAGACTAGGAGGAACATTATAAAGAAAGGTCAATAGCAGTGGCTCTCAGAGTGTGGCCTCCATACAAGCAGCATCACCTGGGAACTTGTCAGAACTACAAATTCTAGGGCCCCATCCTGGACTCACTGAATTAGAAATTCTAAGGGTAGAGCCCACCAGACAATTTTTTTTTTTGGTAATTGGATGATTTATTTGACTACTCCATCCTTAAAGTTCCTCCCTTGGCTTCTAGAACACGACTTTCTTGGTTCTCCTGACTTACGTTTCACACCTTCCCATCATTCTTTTTAAGACCTTCTCTTCCTCTGACTTGTATTTTCTCCCACCAGACTGTTTTAACAAGCCCTCTCTATGACCTGGATGCATACTAAAGTTTGAGAACCACTGGTCTAAAGATTCAGTCTTCGACATGAACCATTAGTAAACAGGCACCGAGGGTCTTCTGTTCCAAGAAGCAAGGTCTGTAAATGCTTGTACATGCCACTTTTCAGTTGTGTTCTCTACTCCTGAGCCTATTCCATTTAGCAAAGTTCCAAAGTAGCACCTTCAAGTGTCAATAGTTTAGAAAAGGTCGCGGTACTCTCTGCTATCATTAGACCCTCAGACCTTAACATAAAGGTTTTTCCCCACCTACTGTGGGCCCTACCTGGGGGAGCTGGCCTTCAGGAACCCCATCTCGGTAGAAGATGATGCGGGTGGGCTTGAAGCGGGTGGACTTGTAGAACTGGATGAGCAGCTCACGCACCATGTAGGATAAGTCTTCAATGATCTCCTGCCGAGGTCGCTGCACCCGCACGGTAGCACAGTAACGGCTGGGATGGGCATCCATACTGCCTACCACCTGATAATCAAAGAAGCAGGCTCAGGCCCCAGAAGCTGCACGCTCCTAACACGGCCAGGCTGTAGGTTTGGGGAAAGGCTTCTCAGCAAGAACACTACACTATCGAAATGAATAGGGTTTTGGATTCGATGAGCCCTGGTTTCAATCTCTGTTCTATCACACATGCAGAAGTTACTTAATCCATCTGATTTTTTTCCTCCTCTCAAATGGAGATAAGAGTAAGAATACCATCTGCTTGCAGCACTGTTACAGTATATATAAAGCACCTTGCATGGGGCCAAGCCCACAGTAGGTACTTGATAAGTTTGATTTCCCCACCCTTTGCAGGGGCGCATGTGAAGGTTGGGCATTACCAGCTTATCGAGCGACCTCATCCAACCACAAGTTTGTCCTTTTGTTCATTCAAGCACTAACCTACCCAGGAACCAAGGTGAAGAGTGTTCTTCCAGGTGGTGGGATTAACATCCTATTCAAAGGGGACAGTGGCCAGAGCCTAGGATGGACGACCACAAGGAAAATAGGGATTATATAGGGTTTCCCTGCATTTACTGAATAAGCCCAGTCTGCCTAGAGAAATGTGAGGGTTGAGGAAAGAGAAGTGGGCAAGAAGACCTGATTCCTCTAGCAATTCAGAAGCCCCTAGAGGACAGGGAGCAGAGAACTCAGTAGAGGAATTAGAGAGACAACTAATCTACTAGGTGGCTGGGGGTAGGGAAGGGGAAGAGGATTTCAGAGAAGAGATATGGTTACTGCCATATACCAAAAGTGAGCATGGGGAAAAAGAGATAAACTCAAACACGGAGCAGGAGTGATAGAGGCTGTACCAAGTCTCTGGCCACAGCCTACACTCTCACTGAAAAAAAAAAAAAAAAGACACCATAGTTTTACGAAGATACCAAGAGTGTTAATGGGGATGATTAGCTGAAAGGAGATCTTATGAAGGGTCAAGTGCCAGAGCTAAGGGAAGGAAATCATGTGTAGTCTTGGGAACTCAGAGCTAAAGGAGAACCTTATAAGGAAGTTGTAGAGGATCACTCACTGCGGTGATAGAAGGCTTCTTCCCATCGCCTGCTGGGGGGTGTGTAACATCTGCTCCCAGGAATATCACTGGCTGTTGAAAGACTGCAGAGCTGAACAATAAGAAGAAAACAATGGTGGAGAGTTGGGTCTTCTCTTCCTGGCACCATGTAGCACCCACTTGGGTCCTCTCCCTCGTGTCTGATTCACTCTGTCTGGCCAGGGTCCTATCTTTTCAGCAATCCCCAGAATGGTACCTTGCGTGACAAGGGAAAGTGGGTAATAGAGTTCATACCGCTGGTGTGGGACTAGGATGTTGTTAATGCCACCAAGTTTGACATTGATCTTCAGGCAGAGGTTGGACAGAGTCTGAGGTGAAGTCTTGACCACGTTCTTCACTTGCACGCACTGTGTAGCCATTCCTAAGAGGGTATCTCCAACACGTTTCACCTCAGCTATGAGCAGGGAGAAAACTGATTAGTGCATCACAAATACTTACCGAATGCCTCCTAGATACCAGGCAGTCTATGGGGTGCTAGGGACCACAGTGGTGACCAGGAAAACATAGAGTCCCTAACTTTTATATTGCTTATTATCGACTAATTTGAAAAATTATGAAAAGTATAACAAAGATAAATGTTGCCAACAGAAAACGTCACAGAGCTATGAGAGTATATAATAGGGGGGTAATAGCCAGAAAAGAACTGAGTAAGTACTGAATGAACTGAAATCTAAAGGGAAAAAAAGGACTTAGAAGAGAGGGGGGCAGTTTGGGAGACAGCATTCCAGGCAGAGGACACAGCATGCAAAATGCACTCTGATAAAAGATAGACAGCATTGTATGTTTGAGAAACTAAAAGGCCAAAGTAACTACAAAGAAGAGCAAAGGAACCATGGTGTGAGAGAAAGAATGTGGTCATTAGGCCGACTTAGGAAAGAAATAAGGGTAGCTTCTATTAACACACTTAGGACGGGGCATTTAAATATATAGACGCAAATCTGTGTCACCGGTCCACAATGTGTTAAGAAGGCAGTTCTTGAAATGGAGAGAAACAAATTGATTCAAGAGGTATTTAAGAGACACAGAGACACATATGTACTTACAGACATATGTAAGTAAGAAGAAAGAATTTTTATGGGTAATATCTGTGTTTTTAGCTTTTGTAATATTGGGCTGTCGGAAAAGTCATGCATTTTTGCAACAAAAACATTAAAAAAAAATATGTCATGACTTTTCCAACAACCCAACAGAATAAATAGATCTTTTTGAGACATTTTGAGTTTGAAGTGCTTTTTGGTCATCCCAGTGAGGGTCTTAACTAGGCATCTGGGTACAGGTGGAAACTAAATAGTCCAAAACAGAGATGCAAAATTTATGAGATATTTAGGTACAGGGAGTAAGTGAAGGCATGATCCTGATGGGGTTACCGAGGAGGAGAACAGGGTGAAAAAAGAAGAGCTTACATCTGAATCCTGAGGTTCTCCCAATGTTTGCAGAATAGGAAGATGAGTCTGCAAAAGACTTTTCTCCTGAAAAGGAGAAAAATCCAGAGAACTAGGAAGAATATTAAGACAGCCATATCATGAATATCAAGGAAAGAGAGAGAGTTTGAAGCAGAACCAAGTGTTCAACAAAGTCAAATGCTGCTAAGAGATCAGGTAAAATGAGGATCAGAAACATCCTTTCGATTTAGTAAAATCAAGGCAAAAAAATAATGTATAGAAGCAAAAGCTCTTTTGGTGATATAAAATACCAAAGCGGAGATGTAGGATCAATGTAGGGTTTGGCATGTTTTCAATGGGAGAGACTTGAGTATGTTTAAAAACATAAAGGGGGGCCAGCCAAGTGGCGCGATGGTTAAGAACTGGTTTGGGACGCCAGAGGGCCCCGGTTTGGATCCCACATATGAGGGCCAGTGACACTGCCCTCCACAGCTAAGATGCTGAACAACAGCTCAACC